CTACACTCCAGCAGGGTTTGTGCAGCTCATTTTCAGACTGGACCATGTAAAACAGCTTTTTCGCTTTCTTTCCCACTATAGCTCTTGTAGCAGTTCTTGAACAGAGTGCAAGTGTGCTCCACCTCCTCTAATTTCACTGACTAGCACCTAGGATTTCTCCTGGAGTGGATGAAGTTCAGGGCAAGCACAGGGCCATCGCTCCAGGTAGTGGAAACAATACAGAATTGAGAAAAAAAAGACAATAATAATGGAAAAGATTGGGCACACAACCATTTTCCAGGCCAAAGTATCTCTACTGTTATATTAAATTTTCTCATCTCCAGGAATCTGCTGTGCTCTGACCTCAGCCCTTTCTGATTTCGATCTCTGTAGCAACAGGAGAGACCTGAGGTTAAGATACACACTTCTACATCCTTACAGTGCCAAACCTTGCCGTGGATGATGGATAAAAAATGAGTTTCAAAGTGATGTGAAGCACAGGAACTTCAAAAATAATGTTAAAGTTATGGTCTTTTAGGAAATTTTTAGAACAGATGTCTCCAGCCACTAATATATATGTGTGTACAATATATATACACACACAGAAATATGCAATGCACAAGTATGCACCGACATGCTGGAAAATAGTTAACTAGCAAAATGCTCCCTTTGATCTTCCTCAAATTATTCAATTAATTATATTTGAGTTTGCATTCATAAATTCCATGGAAAAAAGAAAGGGCTAAACTATCTGATGGTGGCCTTTTACACCAAGAGCCAGCAGGACCTGACTTACCTGCCAGAAGAGGCCCCTGCCCAAGACTCCTGCCTGTTGTGGAGGTGCCCTTGACACCATCCACTTTATGGAAACTATTCCAGTAGTCCAAAAGCCAGAGCCAGTGTGGCCGCCCAGCTCCTGGGCATGCATCCGGACTGTGGGACAGAGGCGTTGGCACTCTCCCCACAGCTCACTGAGCTGCTTGTAGCTGGCGCTGTATCTGTAGCACCTTCCGGCAAAACAAAAGATAAAATAGTGATTTATTTATAAAGCAGGAGTGTGGGTTGTTTTTTATTTTTAAACAAAAGAAGCTTCTTCAAGCTATGTCAGAGACGCAGAGCAGCAGAGCACATTAATGGAATGTAACTCCACAGCCTCACAGATAAGGGCTTTAAAGCTGACCTTTGCCAAACACAAGAGAGTTAAAGGAAGGACGTTCAGGTCAGACAGTGCTTTACGCTGCAGCAATACCTTGGGTTCTTGATTTCCTTATGGACTGTAGTGGTATGTTTCTGCTGGAGTTTCCTTCATGCGCTTCAAACTGATTTGCAAATAAGACATTTGGCTTTAGCTAACTATAACAGTGCTTAAGGAAAGCAGAAAGAATAAGGATAGAACACACATGTGAATTATTATGTTATCTAGCATTGTCTGTCTTCTTTTACAGAAGTCATCCATTTAACCTTTTTATTTTCAAGCTACAGTTGGCCCACCTATTCTTCTGCCATCACATCAGTGCAGAACTCTGCACCTATAAATTATGCGAAGAAAAAGTGCTGAGCATATGGATTTTTTTAAAAACGTGATCCTCAAATTAAATCCTTAAATGAACAGAACCTTCCACCCGTGGTAGATTGATAAAGACAACATGGGAAAAGCACACCCACTGAGCAAGGCTGCTACTTGCCATCAATTTTGTTCATTGCCTTATCATAGGAGAAGAAACTCATGCTGATAAGGCACAAACACTACTGAAGTATGAGTTTTCATTTCCACAACATCCTTCAAAGCGCCTTCCATATTTAGCCTTCATTTAACCACTGTAAAATAATATGATACGTCCCTATGATGTGTCCATTTGCTCAGAGCAACACCAGCAGTCAGCCTGCACAGCAGGGAAGGAGACATAGGTTCCTGTGAATGTATGTTGGGGAACCGAAATCAGCTGAACCCACGGACCCACAGCCAGTTTAGCCAAAGCACCAGGACCAATGCCCTAACTTTTGAGAAAATGGCAGGCAGATATTTTCTGACCCAGCTTCCAGAACTATTCCTTGAAGAAAGTGTTTCCCCACAGGACTCCCATGAGTCTTAAATGATGGGGAGGGAGGTCGACCATGGAGCACATCTATCACTCTGGAACTTGAAAATTGAGGCTGGCATAGATGGGGTTAGTTTTCACAGGTGAAAACATGTATTTCTCATGACTATTCCTATTGCTTATCTAATAGCAATGAGGAGTCCTAAAATGGCATCAAGACTATGAAACAACGTAATAGTCTGAGGGCTGATGCATTCAAAGGGTCTCACGGGGAGCAGGCTCCAAGTTCTCTTCATATTTGAAGAAATTTGCATTCAAAATATCAGAAAAATGAGGTATTAATCTCTAGAACAACTTAAATAAATTTGTTTTTCAGACAAGAAAATTTAGCAGAGCTGTACAAAATGTTCCGTTCCCCTGTGCTGAAGAGTACTGCTGCCTTTAGCCAGTACTTCTTCAAATGCTTTTTTGTGACAGTTACCTATGTAATGTGGGCTACTCTTACACATAGGAACTTCCACCAAATTTTCATTAATTTCTGCTACAAACTTGTTTGCCAACTTGTACAGGGAGAAGGCTATGCACAAGTAGGCTATACAACACTCAAGATATTGTTTGGATGGAAAGAACGGCACACAGCAAGGAACAGATTTCAAGGCACTTTCCCTCCTGTGTTCCACAACATACAATTTCTCTTTGCAATTTCACTTCACAGTGCTGGACCTAACCTGCTGCTGCTATCTGTAAGGCTCTTGCACTCACGCCACTGGCAGCAGATATGAGCTAGGTTCAAGATGATGTACACTGACCTCTTCTTTTTTTACTCTAATTCAGTATGAGTTCCAAGTTTACAATTTCTTTGTCATAAGCTCCTTCCTGATTCTCTTATTTCATAGATTAAATGTGGTTAGCTTCTACAGGAACGTCACTGTTCTCCATTCAGTAAAACGGAGATCTCCCTGCACATTCTTTGGGTATGTTTCTCTCCAATGTTTAGTACAATGTGACCTCTTGCGAGACAGAGCCCACAACCTCCCAGGGTAATGAAGTGTGATTAAATATCTTTTTTGGTTACAAAATTATAAGGCACAATTATAAAGTCAACTATTAAAGAGGATGTCTCACTTTTTTTTTCACATTTTCATATCCTTTCTGTTTGTACACATGTATACCAATGGGTAGCGAATGCTGAAAACAAAATTAAAATCCTGGATTAAGTCACTTTAAAGCCAATTTTTGTTTGATATGGTGCATACAGAAAACAGTGATTGTTTGTTCCCTGCATAAATGGGCTTTGCACGCAGAATAAGACAGGGCCATGTTAAGCTAGAATAAGGGTGCTTAGCTCAGCTGGAGTGTAACTCCTAGTCCCCAGACTAGCACTCATGACACTAGTTTGTTTCTTCCTCATGGTCTGGATGATGCTGTGTAGACATCACCTTAGAGTTCAGCCCAACACTTACTGAATTAGAGGGACCATTTGCGGTTACTTCTCCATAACTGGGTGAGGCTTTTGGCTACTTAAGTTGCAGTCTTTTTTTTGCATGGGGGCAAAAAAACCCCAAAACCATGCCAGAAAGAAAAAGGGGAGAAATGTTCCCAAACCTATGCTGTTTTAAAAAAGTGAGGCAATCCTGAGTGGCCTAGACAGTGGAATTCCAGCACAGAGCTCTGCTTTCTGTGCTCACACTGTTCTTCCGTGGGTTTCTGACCACCAAGGATGCGTTGCTTAACCTTACAAATTTCAGAAACTCCAAACTAGGTGGAAGCAGACAAAAAATACACATCTCCTCAACTCATTAATTAAGTCTCCAACAGCCCCCACTTCCCACAGCACCACGAAGCTTTCCTTCCCAGAAGACTGCAATCACAAAACGGAGCCTAAGTCCAAGCAAAGAGCTCCCTTTCCAAATCAAACTCAGTAACTTCATGTCAGGTACCTTCAAAAGGGAAGACAAAACCACATTTTATGATGTTCCATTAGAGGGCATCCTAGCATGTCCTTTTGTGGTCAGATGCTTCCCCTAATTTATATCCTCTGCAATACTTTGTGAACAATCTTCTATAAGGACAGTCAGGAACATTCACATCCCCAAGCTTTTGCATCCCTTGTAATCGTATTAATAGTTTCATTTTATGTTTTAGTTGGTACTGTATTTCTCTTCTAATGGCGCAACTTCCCTCACCAGGAGAGGCAGGTTTTCAGTATTGTTCCATGCATGTAAGATGTGAATAAGCTGGACACACTACCACAAAATTAATTTCAAGCTTCAGAACAGTTGAAGATCACACTTGAAAACTGTAAGGGACTACAAAAGGCGAGCAAGTTTGATCATGTATCTTGAAACTAGAGGGGAAGATAAATGTACGTTCTCAAAAGCTACCAAAGACAGAAGCTCCACTGCCAAAATACAACAACACGGCAACTGCTCAGACCCAGGCAGCATGGACCCAGCAGCAGGAACCAAACAGAGCTCCAGGATACAGGGAGCTGTTGTAAAAACAGCCGCTACCCCGACTCACGTATCCAATCTTTAAAAACTCAGTTTTAAGACAGTTTACTAATACAGGTACAGATACATACCGATACAGTTTACAACCATCAGTCCCCTTAAAATCAGTAAGAAGCCCCTAGGTATTAAAAGCTACTTATAGCGATAAATATTTTCGGATTGGACCGTGATGTGTATGAAGATCAGTTTCTATTCATACCTGTAGGTACACTGAAATCAATTCAAAGACTGAAGGCACCAGAGGATCTAAAGGTAATAATATTGGAAATTAAGAAGTCTAGGGCAAGAAATAGGAGTTGACATGATAACTTGAAAATATATCTATGAGACAGATAATTCAGTTATAATAAATTACCATACTATCTGACTTAAAGAGGAATGTAAAAGTGCTCCTGTCACACAAAATAAAAAATGAACTTCTGACTGCTGAAATGCAAGATTAATGAATTGACATAACAGACATGAAAACTTACGATGATCCTGGACTTGCTGTTGGCGGGGGACCTGGAAAAGTGACAGAAGAAAAACAGTGTGATGAGTTATGGTGAGGTAGCAAGCACGAAGCTTTTGAAAACCTCTTAAAAGATGTAAGTAACAGTCTGTCATGTTGGATGTGGTTTATGTAGTTTAACAGACAAGTCACAGTTTCTCAGTACCAAAACCAAGCCTGTATCCTGTAGCAGTGATTGTCTGCAAAATGCCACAGACGAGGACAATAAACAGGTGATGCACTCATTCTGCAATTCAGCTGTGTCTCAGACCATCACAGAAAAGGTTACAGCAAACCACAGGAGGCTTGTACAAAAGCATGTTGTAACTATAACTGGGAGAAAACCATTTCCGCCATCAATCTTCATTATTTATCAGGGAGTTCATCCTCAGCCAGATTCAGATGCATTGATCAAATTTGTTCTGACCTCAGTGGGCTTTGGCTGAGAAGGTTTTGTTGTTACTGCCCTTGGGGCTTATATTTTGGCAGCTACTGGAAGGGCTGAGCAGGTTGGAGTACACGTTCACTGGCACAGCACAGATGGAACAGTCGGCTGCAGCAGATTTCAAGGAAGTTCTTACTAATGAGTATTTGCTCTAGAAACTGAATTGTGACATTAAATATTGCTCCAGTCAGAAAAAAGGAAAATACTCACTGTTTTCTACAGGAGCATCTATAAAGGTACCATTGCTCAGATAAAAATCTCCTACATTTCAGATACAGGCTAAAGGACAACAACTGCCTCATGAGAGAACATCTAATGATTAATTTCTTATTAGAAATTAGAAAATGTGGGAGATTTATGAAAAAATGCTATGAAACTCATCACATATATCATTCATTGTGTGTTATTTGTCCAGTTCCTAAGAGGATTAACCAGGACTCCATGCAAACATCTTCATCTCAGTGAATTGTTTCCCTCTGAAATGTGGAGGTGGAGGAGAAGATGCGCAAAACCTGTTTTTTATTTGGAATCTTCTCAGTCATAAGATCAGCTTTGAAGGCAATTATCTCAATATAAACTTTGAAGAAAAAGTGCTTATTTTACCCGATAGGTCTGTGTGTGTATATATATATATATCACTAACATGCCTCCAATCTATACTGCAAGCTGAAATTTCTCACTTACTAGAGAAAAAGGAGGTCACTCAGGCACTTAAGAATAAAGTATTTTTTCTTGTATGGTCTGAATCCAGTCAGGTAGCATATTAATGAACATTGCTGTTTAGTGACCCCTGTGTTTCAGTCCTGCTTCCAGTAGGCTTTTATATAGTAAAAGCCATCACTACAGCTGGCAACGCAGGCTTCTCAGCTGAGCAAAGAGCAAACAGGCAGAGAGGATAAGCTGCCAACCCAGAGATGCTCCCAGAAATAGGCTGAATCAGACCAGCTGATATTACTACATCAGTGCATTCATTTCCAGTGGATAAACACACCTTTCTCCAGAGCTTTTTTTTTTAAGTAATAGTTTGAACAGCTTAAAAGAAGAAAGCTTACCAAACTTCACAAACAGCACACCAGTTGTAGAAACAGTCTTTCTGCCATTAGTCGCAACACACTGGAAGTAGCCAGTATCTGTTGTGTCAAGGTTCCTTATTCGCAGTCGAGACCCATAGCTTGTGGCACGGAAGGAGATCCTCCGGGGTTCTTGGACAACTGGAGCATCGTTTTTCAGCCAACGGACCGTCGGAGGAGGGTTGCCAGAGACTTTACAGTGCAGCTCTGCAGTCTGGCCAAGGGTGGTAGTTATGTTATTCATAGGTTCATCAAGCGTCAAGAAGTAGTCTGTTATGTAAAAAGAAAAAAGGGTGAATAAAGAACTCCAGCTTGGGAAATATCATTTTAAAGAAAGCTCATGCTTGTCTTTGAAAGGGAAACAAAGGAAGTGGCTATCAGGTTTAGTAGAAAACAATACTACTTGTTAATTGATATTTCAGGGCAGGCAATAGGTCCCACATAGTTTTGCATGGTAATAAAAGGAACAAATTTTGGAACTCCCATTGCACTATAGTAATGCTGTATTACTTGAAAACTTCTTGTCCTTCATATACCCATAGATTGTCTCTACTTTCTCAACATCATCCTATTTGGCTTCATTCAACACAGAAAAAGGAGGTAACACTGCTTCTCTTTTTTCTTTTATTTTTCGTTTTTGCTAACTAATAAACATGAAAAACATGTATCAGAAATCTGGCTGCTCATTTTGATGCCTCTGCCCATGTTAGGACCCACGAAATATAGGAATATATTAAATTAATCGCTCAGAAGTGAAGATCTCTGAGCCATTTTTAATTGATTCACAGAGCAGCATAGACAGTATATTGTCAATGATTTTGTAAGCACTAACTGCATAGATGAGGAATAAGGATCGTATCTAGGAGATGGAGATTTTTTTCTCACTCGGTATTTCCCTTGCTAAGAGCACTAAGGTTTATCTTAAATCTGAAATAGGTCTCATGATAGGTGCAAGCAGAAGATCAAGAATTCTTTTGTTAAGATAGAGAATGATAAATCAAAATTTAGCAAAATTAATCTCTTCTAATCCATTTGTGAGCATTGCCTTCTCCTGTCAAGTGCTATTTCATTCTGCATCATTCAGGAAGAGGACTATTTCTAGTTAACTGTATTCAACATTTAATTAAATCCTTTAAAGGCAGAGAGCAAGATGGATTGGGTACAGGGAATGGAATACACGGGCTTTCATCTCTGTGTCAGTGGTTCAAATCTAACAGTGGTCATTAGTGGCCAAACCCCATTATCATCTGCTGGCTGTCTCAGCAGGGAGGCCAAGGAATGAGAAATCCAGAGGCTGTACTCTGCTCCTACGCTCTCAGAGCCAACCCAGGAGGTCAAGAAAAGCCCATCAGTAAGTAAACCTGTGCTGTGCTGCTTATGCTCCACCATCCTCAGGTACATCTACTGTTAACTCCAGCAATAAGCCTGCCTAAAATTATGAAAAAAAATCTCTAGCATGTATAAAAACAGTTTAGCCAACTAACTTGCCTAACTAATCCACTTCCCTAATTATTTATTTTAATCATGTCTTCACTAGCTACTCCCTTCATTATGTTTTAAGTATATCAATATCTCTTTCCTTTGTATTTAATCTGTTTAGCATGTAAACTGTTACCCAGTATTTATACACTTTATACAATGCGTTCCTGTTCTCATTTGGTCCCCAGGAGCTATTAGGATAAACGTTTAACACAAAGGAACTGTCCACACATATTTTTTTCACTGATCAACTAGCCTTTTAATGTGCAGGTATAACACTGTGCAAAAAAACCCTACTTTTACCTACGCTCCCATGGATCTAATTAGTTAGGAAATCTATGTACGGGGTAAAAAGGGCAGGGATCCCAACCCTTAGTGAAGACAGACAACAGGGTTCGATGTCTCTTGCCAGGGGTGTCAGACTGGCCTTCTAGCTCTCCAGAATCATTTCTGCATGTTTCATTACAAGACTAGAAATGTTTCTGACTTGCTATCTTAATAACCTCACCGGGAAGCATAATCTAAGTCAGCACACGTATTCCTGGGTTCTCTCCACAATCTGGGTTTAATAAAATCACACTAATAGCATGGAACTGGATAACCACATTTAATTATCCAATGTAACATTTCTATACCACAGTCGTTTATATAATTCCTGATAACATTTCAAAGACTGGTTCAGACATCTACAGCATAACACAGCCAGAGAACAGAACGGCCTCAGTCCTGTGATGGTCTTGCTGACAAACACCACAATAAATATAATATTTTAAAGTTCCTATGTATACAGGAGAGGCAAATAAAGGAGTAAGGATTTAGGGTAGGTTTCCAAAGGCTGGAGAAGGATTTTGAAGTATCAGTAGCAACAATAAGTCAGTGAAAAAGTATGGCTGTAATGCAAGAGCTATGGTGCAACTTCTCTATAGGTACAAACAGAAATAGCCTCTCAGCATCAGGAGCTTCTGACTCTTCTCTAAGTGTTCTCCACCTTCGTCCACTAACTACTACAGAAACACTAAAACAAAATGCATCTGCTAAATTGAGCTTAGCCTAGTCCTCAAATCCATAGATTCTGCATTCAAATCATAAATCAGATCAAGCAGATCACCTGAGATGAGATTTAAAACAGGGTAGGTTTCAAGCAATTGGAAGCTTCATGAGAAAATGCTTCTCACAGATAAAGCAGTTCTGTAATTGAAAATGAGCTGAAGGTGAACCAGTGCTTCCAAAAAAACCTGGACTGTTACTGAGACATACAAAATTATGCGCATTGCTGTCCTTGCCCAGCATGGAGGGGCCGAAGAGAAGCACAGTTTTATTTTTAATACTTCTGTCTAACTCTCACCTACCAAAGCCCATCAAATCTCCAAAGCTACTGCCACCATTCTCTTCCTTTAATAACAACTATGCAAAGAACATATAAAATAGTTCCTGCCTGCAGCCAGGTTTCTGCCCAGGTCACCCCCTGTCAGCCACTCTCTGGTGCCATCAGCATTAACATCTCCTCCATCTTGGACCAAAGGCCAAGAAAAATGGCAGTAAACCCTCCTTTTCTGCTTTCAGCAGGTGGCCAACAGGGCTGACAAAACAGGATGGACCTGCTGCTTGCACACACAATGAAGACACTGTGTCTCATGGCCATGGTCTTAGAGCACGCCATATTTTACCATATTTCATTTGACAGTCTCCCTGCCATCAAGGAGCTCCCCAGATGCCCAGAGTAGACTCCCTCTGACCTAAAGAATAATTTCTTAGAAACACGACAGTTCTTATGTACAAAGTAATTACTGCACTTCTGAGAATTAACCAGTGTAGTGGCACTGGCCATTGGAAAGTCTGAGTTTTAATCCTGGCTCTGAGTAGTCTTGGGTGAATCACTTCAGTTGTGATTTTTAGGAGCGCCAAAGGGAAGTAGACACCCAAAGCCAATCAAAGCTCACATGGGATTTGTGCAACTAAGTCCTTTTAAAAACAGCCTTAAACCTTTTGGCTCAATCTCTCCACCTATAAAGTGAGGATAATAATCCCTCTTACATCATGGGGAGGCTGTTATGTACATTAATGAGATAATGCTCGTAAAGCACATTGAAGGTGAAAAGTGCTATGCTGGGATAAGCACTGTTATTATATTTTAAGTTAAATCTCAGGGTTTCAAGAACATAACAAAAGCCCATCCATATTTTAGAGTAGCACTCTATAAAAACATTTTGCAAACATTTTAATTTACAGAGGTATGGGAGAATAGCCTGAAAAAGTTCTAAATAAAATTTAGCCCACCTATAATTTAATAATAGTCAAACTGATTTTTTTTTAATTTGTAAAAACAATTTACTGTTGGGCCTAGACCTTGAATGCCAAGTTTCAGCCCACAGAGATTTTTTTTTTTTAATGGCTGAGTTATAAACCCTTGAAAAATGCTGACAGCCGCTTTACTATAGCAGCACTAGCGGGTGCCCTATAATGAACTTTTAAATGACTTGAGATAATATCTGGAAAGCCAAGCCTGAAATATATTTCTGGTTTTGAGCCGTTGCCAATGCAAACACAACACATCATAAGTCATCTTCATGATTCTAAGCGCATAAATTGGAGACACTGCATATAAAATCCAAATATTAGGTATCCTTCATGGCCAAACTTTTTGCTGGTTTGATGTTACAGAATAGCAACAGCTGTGCAAGGACGAAATGTAGTGCATTGCGTGTCTCAAAAGAAGAAAAGTGTGTGTATTTCCACAGCTCCGTCTTGACATTGTTAAATAGGAGCCTGCCCAGTCGTAATAAATCCTGAAGTATTCTACTACTTTTAAGTGGAACCCAGGTGGCTTTCAAAATAAAAGCTCGTCCTCTCTGGCCAAGGAATGCTAATCTCCTCTGTGACCACATGGTTACTCTATCTTAAATTACCAAAGACACATCTTGGAGCAGTAACACCCTCTTTGCTTGGAGGAGTATTTTGCTGGCCATAGTGAGACCTTTTTTCCCCCAAGTACTGTGTGTGCTATATGTTTCTGATTTCACTAGGTGTTTAAAGCATGATGGGGATGCAGGATTAGACCCTGAAATGTTCATTTTATGAGAAGAATTGTTGTTTCATTTATCCTTTTCTTTATGCCCTTCTGATCTTTCAGAATATTCAAAGAAAAGCTAAAATTAGTCTCAATTCAAGCCATCACAAGCCTGAAAACAGCTTTAATCCAGGTGCAACAGAGAGGCCGGTGTACCAAGTTACTTCCCATTACAGATGTGTAACAACACACTTCTCTGGAAAGGAACATCTCCAGACCTTTTCTGAAGCAAACCTACAGCTGTGGGGACACCATTTCCAGCTGCTGGACTGGAGAATAAGTTGAATTCTGGATTTGAAAATTCAGATCTGCATTGCAGCACGTAAAGCAACCACCTGACCTTGTTGGAGTAAGGCAGCTGGGACACCAGTCTTACAGACTGCTTATTGCATTTATTTTTTTGCACCAAAAGGCTTAGCAGCTCATGGGTTCTTTGTCATAGCATACACTGGCAAGAAGAAAGGCACATCAGAGGGTCTGACACAGTCTGTCCAATTTAATATACTAGTCTGGAAAGAAGCATTTTCATTTAATATACTAGTCCGGAAAGAAGCATTTTCATTCATTCAGAGCTTTGGATTATCCACATTAGTCCAGTCTGATGCTACACTTGGATGCACCTCGTACTCACATGTATCTGCACCACCACTGAGATCAGACTGTTGGAAATTTTCTATATGGAATTGTTCTTTTTGGAGAAAGTCAACAATGCAGAGCCCACCCA